CTGGGAGTGTTGGGCATTACTTTTGCCATGTACCAACTGTTGGAACTGTTGGGGCGAGATGCGTAGAGAACAGTAGGGGTCTGCTCCGGTTCAGCAATGCGATGTTCTTCCATCTGGAGTAGTGAACGTGTTTGGAGAAAAGATGGCAACGGAGTTTGGAAGGAGATTAGATTGACAATGGTCCCGTAATGTTTTGGTAGACCGTGGAGGGTTTGGAGGACGAGTTGCTTGTCTGACACGGGGTTGCTGACATCTGCCAAGTTGTCGGCAGTGGTTTTGAGAAGTTGACAATAATCATGGATCTCGAGAGATCCTTTCTTTAGGGACTTGAACTGTTCTTCGAGTTGGATGGCCCGATAGTCTTTGTTATCTGTAAAGAGGGAGGCGAGGGCCTTCCACAGATCATGAGCCATTGCGGTTTTGGAGAGAACCATGCTTGAGAGGTCCTCGGTTATGGTGCCATAGATCCAAGTCTGGAGGAGGTAATCCGCGCGTTGCCATTCATCGGCAGAGATGTTGGCGGGCTTTTCTTTTCCGAGAAGCAGATCGGTGAGACAGAAGCGGCCTGCGGTGATGATGAAGAAGTGGCTCCACTTTTGATAGTTCGGATTTTTAATATCCAGGGTTACAGGAATAAGAGCTTTGATGTTAGATATAGCATGAGCAAGATGAAAAGGGTTGGAAATCATGGTCGGTGTAGGTGTTTCGTTGGCCATGGTGGATGAAGAGAAGAAGAAAGAACGAGAAAGAAAAAAAAAATTGAAGAAGGAGAGAAACGGCGGCTTAGGGTTTTTGGCTTGATACCATGATAGAAGGTGACTATTTGGAGAGAAGAGAGAGTAATGATCTCTCACGTTTATGGTGATATATATATATATTACATGTGTGAAAACTCTAATCCTTTACACAAGGGAACTAGGAGATATACATACCAATAATACAATATTTATCTATAATATATATATTAATAAGGATACATAAACATACGGCTAATATATATAAAGATACGGCTAATACAAAGCTCCATCGATGGTTGGGGTCGTGTTATTCGGGTTATGACCCGATCGGACCCAGCTTTACCCAATCGGGACGAATAATTTGTTACTGTTATGGGTTTCGACGGGCTCGGATACCCTAAAGCCACAAATCTAGTCGGGTTCGTGTATTGATATTCCTACCGAAAATCCGATCAGGTAACCAACTAATTTAAAAAAAGTAAAAGAAAATATTTAAAACCAAGGAAAGAAGCATTATTTTATTCTACATGAGTTCTTAATGTTGTTGTTAGGGTTGTTCATGGGTTGATTTTACCCGCAAACAAATCATTTTCAACCATGTTTATTGGCAGATGATCAACCATCAACCAACCCATTAAAGGTGGGTCGATATGTCAACCAACACATGATAGATGGGTCGGTTGTTAGTTTGTAATATGTTAAAAAGTTGATTCCTCGGGCATTATAGGTCAGCCAAATTTATTTATTTATTATTATTTTATATGTTCTAATTAAAAGTTTTATATTATTTTCTCTAATTCCATAATCTTTGTTTAAAAAAATATTTGACCTAAACTCTAATCTATAATTATGTAATTTGGATGAATTATCAATATCATTACTCATTCCTCTTATCGTCTTCCAACATCTCTCCCATAGCCATCAGCCCGCCGCTAGCAATTCTTCTCTAACCATCACCAGCCTTTTTGTATTGTGCTATTGTTGAACAATTATGTTTAGTTGAAATTTTCATTTATTTGTTTTAACATTGTGAAACCCGTTATATATGTTGGAAGACATGTAGTGTTATTTTAATAACTAATATAGTATTAATTATTAACTATTAAGATTTGTATGTTTTGGACGTTCGATTATACTAGTAATGGATATCTAATATATTTTTGATTATTTATTTTATCTTGCAGTGCATATGTTGCGTGCAGAAGATGAATGGGAGACTACACTGAAACACGTGGAATTTCACAATGTGTTTTTAACTCTCTTACTTTCAAATTAAATTTTAGTTATGACTAAGTATAATGCTTAGTGAGCTAAGTATAATACTTAGTGGGCTAAGTAGTGCTTAGTGGGTTAAATTGTTGATATTATTTTAACTACTAAGCTAACCCACTAACCCATGTTCTTGAGTGCTCTTGTAGTCGGTTTTCTTGCAGATCATGGGCTGAGGAGTGGAAGCTTGGAATGTCTATAAATACCGACTTCAAGACTCAAGGAATGTTAGGGATTCTAAGAAACAAAAACCGTGAGCTGAAAAGAATACATGAGAGTATTAGTGTGTTTTTAGAATCTGTTGTACGTACTACTCATGAGTACATTCTTTGAAGTCTAGATTTTTAGTATATATTTTTGTTTCTAGATTTGGTTGTAAGAATGATCAGTATAGTGATTCATTCATAAGGAAGAAGTTTTTGTACTTCTTCTCTTTGTATTCTTGTAATATTGTTTTAATATAAGTTTTACATCCTTTAAAAAGGGCAAGTTCACAAGTTATACTTGTGAACATTTTTAAATCTGAGTATTGTTTTAATATTTCCGCTGCATGTTTATACAAGTGTCATAACACTTAATATAACACATCTGTATTAAACGAATTCGGGACCATAAATTCTTTCAATTGGCATCAAGAGCCAACACTTGACGTATATTAAGTGTTTGTTCCTATTTTTTTTCAGAAACGAATTCGTGATGGATACTCAGATGACTACTTCTATGCGACCTCCTGTACTTGATGGCACAAACTACACCTACTGGAAAGTCAAGATGAGGGCATACATCAAAGCCATGGATGAGAGAGCCTCGAGATCTATTCTTACTAGATGGAAGCCACCAACTATAACAGATGTGGATGGGGATGTATTTCCAACACCAGAATTACGGTGGACAACATACGATCTATCAAATGCCAACCAAAACTCAAAAGCGTTAAATGCAATCTTTAATTCAGTAGATTTAACAATGTTTAAATTGATCTCACTGTGCACTTCTGCGAAGGATGCATGGGAGGTTCTTCAGTTACACTGTGAAGGATCAGACAGTGTCAGAAGAACTAAGCTCACATTACTCTCTTCCAAATTTGAGAGACTGGGGATGGAAGAAACTGAAACAATTTCTGAATACAGTGAGAAATGATTGATTTAGCTAACGAATTTCAATCCTTAGGTGGTCCTTTGAGCAATGAGACACTGGTAAACAAGGTACTGAGAACTCTTTTAGAAAGATTCAGCATAACAGTTACAACAATTGAGGAGGCCAAAGACACATCATCTCTACGACTGGACGAATTAATTGGTAGCTTAAAGTCTAGAGATATGAACTTTAAAGATCAGAGAAAATGAGAAAAGGTAAGGCCATCTCAAATGCACTCCAGGCAGAATTAGAAAAGGAAGAAGTTGCTCCGGAGTATGATGATGATGCAGAGGAATGTCTCAACAATGTGGCATTTCAGATTCAGAAATTCAAAGGGGCATACAGACGAAGTGGAATCAAGCCCAGACAGTAGAGAAATAGAAGCGGATCCAACCAAACACGGCACTACGTCTCCTCAGAATCACATTTCAATTTGCAAAAAGAAACCCTGTAATGTTGGAAGTAGCCAAACTCGAATTTCAATTCAACCACCTCGTGTAGGAGAGACTAAACCTTCTTTTGTTTCTTTAAAGTTTGATCAAACAAAAGCAAGAAATGCATTGGTTTTTTGGTTGGTTGTTGATGAGCTTTCTTTTAAAGCAATTGAGAACCCTAATTTTAAGTTTCTTATGCCGATTATATGTCCAATGTTTATGGTTCCATTATGAAAGACTATAACTAGGAACATACATGTCGTGTACATAGAAGAATCGTGCAAGTTAAAGACTTTCATCAACTCTAGCTCAAAGAATATCCCTATGTTGGATTTTTATTGTGTTGCTCATGTTCTATACTTTGGTTCGAAATTAGGATTGGCTTTTTTTTCCTTCTTGTTTTTGTATGAAAAAATGGTTATGTATGTACAAGGTAATAAGCCTAATGACACTACTGAATTTTGAATATCGACATTATTGCTGAAATAAGCGTAATAATGACACTACTGAATTTCGAATATCAACATTATTGCCAAATATTGGTGCTGCAAGAGGGAGAAAAAAAAATGATCCACCCCGATTATTTCGGTTAGGGTTCGGGTAATGATTTATATGCCAAAAATCCGAATAACCCGAGCCGACTCGAAGGTCGCATCTGTCAACCCTGGCATCCAACAAAAACTCATTAAACTCTTGCACCCCTGGTACGTGAGTGTTGGATCCTCCGTTCTTGTCATCCAGAGACTTGATGGTATTGAAGTAGTTGCCCCTTAAATTTCATGGATCCTTGATATTATTGTTGAGCCGAGCCAAATAATCCCACAAAATCAACCTATCCTACCGATTACACTTAGCATAAACAAATTAAGGACATCTTGCGAGTGTAGAAATTATCCAAAGATACTTCCACCGTCATACATTGAGCATGAATTTTCGTAGGTTGCAAGGTCACATAATCTTTCTAAAAAATCTAAATATATGGACTGCCGTGGATCGGAGATAATTCGTAAAACCAATTTGTTTGGCAACATTAGAAATTTTGTATTCATTATGTAATTTGGGTTCCGGAATATAATAGCCACAATATACGGGTTATGTTGAAAATAGTATTACAATTTTTAAGTACAATAAGGATTGAGGGTTCTTTATTCCATTATATTTCATATGAGAAATGACATGAGGAAACAATGGGGGTGGTTCGTTGCATGTTTTTCTTTTCCGGGTTCTACTCACTTGCTTTCGA